GAGATACCGAATTTTTTGTAATAACCTTTTTTATAGCCCTCGATTATCTCCGCAAAAAAGGTTCCGACAAAAATTTTCTGTCTGCCCTCTTTTTCGAGATATTCTCAAAAAACCGAAAGGCTGGAATTGTCGTGGAGTGAGAGAAAGTGGTGGAGTAACAAAAAAATTGAAATAATGAGTTAATATCCCGAAATTCAAATCTAGAAAGTCGTTGCATTTCCCCTCGCTGCAATCCCCCAAATCAAAGAGATTTATCACATGAGCAATTATTAGTCGAGCTGTCAACTACACTAAACAGTCATTAGAGTAACCAGGAAGGAAAGTTTCATTAGAACTAATAACTCTCTTCCTTTTGTGGCACCCGGGACATTTTCGAACTGTTTCCACTGATATTTACCCGACCGTTGACACAATTAAACCCAGAAGACTTGTAATTAATCTAATGAAAGGGAAAAACACCTCTCAATCATTACCACATATCAATCAAATTTCTCCTGTCACAAATCCCCGATTTATTCCTAAACAATTGATTCTAGGAGGAGATACCATGAGATCTTTTTTTTCAGAAATTCAATTCCCAAGGGAAAATATCTTCTGAGTTTTTCACGCTGAGCTGATAGTTTTTGAGATAAATGGATGACATTTTTTTGAACATTTTTGAAAATTGAGATTTTAATAAAAATATGATGTAATTATTTTGTTAAAGGACTAGACTCGGGGAGAGGATGGTCAGTATGAGCTCGATGCTCGTAGAAACCGTTAGCATCAACTACGAGGACTTCAACGAGAGCTTTTTGACCTGCGGCACTTGCCTATGCGTCTACGATGGGAGTGAACACACACCAAAACTGCTGCCATGCTCCCACACAGTAATTATTAAATAAATAAATAAGCAAATCGCCAACTCCTATGAAATTTCCTTCATCTCTTGCCCTCCACACTCCACTATTTGATCGAATAATTCACTGCTCTCCGCATTTATTAATTAATTATTAATCCCAGACTGAATTTAAATTGCAGGTGTGCCTGCACTGTTTAACGAGAATCGCCGCCTCCCAGACACGTGAGGCTGGCCACTTCCGGTGTCCAATATGCCGTGAATTGATAACAATTCCACGAGGTGGTGTACCAGCTCTGCCCCCATCATTTCTCGTTAATCAGCTGCTGGATCTGATGTCACGACAGCGACGCGAAGTCATACCAAAGTGTTCAGTTCATATTAATCAGGAGTTATTGTTCTGCGAGACTTGTGATACTGTCTTCTGCACAGTCTGCACTGGTGGCAGTCACGCTGGCACATCACCAGGATGTACCGAGCACACAATCATTCCCTTCAGCATTGCCATCAAACGAATGTCTGAGATATTACTCTATAAAGCTAACGAATGCATCTCCAAGGTATGTATTTCAACGTCAAGATAATAATAAAAATAATTGAACAATTTATTTTATTTATTAAAATGGTAATCGACAGTTGACACAAGCACAAGAATCCGTCAGCACCGAGCTGGGACGGTTGGACGCTGCAATGGAGCGTTGTCTGGGTGTTGTTGATGCTGAATTTGGAGAGATAATAAAGAAAATTGAAAAGAAACGCGAGGAGCTACAGGCAGGTGTGACAGCAGCTGCAAGAGATAAAAAACGAGTGCTTGAGGAGCAGCACGCGTTGATCGAGGCTGAGAAAAATAAAGTGGAGCGCGAGTGCGAGGGATTGCAGTATCAGGTGGAGGTGAGAAATATCACCCAGAGGATTGGAAGTCTGACTGATCAGTTGGACGCAGCTGTGGCCCTCAGTGAACCCAGGGAAAATGCTTTCATCACTGCTGAGTTCAATCATAACGATGCCATCCAGGAACTCGAGAAAGCACTTGGAGCACTAGGTCGTGTACGTTCTAGTACGACATTACCAGGTAATTATTTTAATTATTCAAATTAATTACCCACTACTTAAATTCTTCAATTTATGCAACTGAATCTCCATTTTTATTCATTCGTCATAATTACCGCAAATAATTTCCGTCAATTAATTGGGATTTTGGTAATTAATATTTCAGGATTGTGCAGAGCTAGTCTGAAGGAGACGGCAATAGCGAAATTACAAACAACTGTGATACTCGAGACTGTGGATTATCATGGACATCCCAGAAATGCTGGAGGCGATCCCATCGGTGTTGAGCTGACCTACGCCGATCAGTCCAACAGTAATGAATCCATTGATTCCCAGGTTATCGATCTGGATAATGGCAATTACGAAATCAATTTTCGACCACCACTTGCCGCGAGGTATTGCCTGAAGCTATCGGTCTTTGAGAGACCTATTAAGGATTATCCTGTGTTCTTTAATGCCACTGAGCACAACGAACCTATCAAGATTTATGGAAAAATGGGCCATGGAAGGGATGAATTCTATCAAATGGTCGCTCTCGCCGTTGATGATGATGATGTTATCTACGTCCTCGACTCAGGAAATTCAAGGATTAAGGTAATTACTTTAATTTAAAAAATCATTAATATTCATTCATTATTTTAATTGAATTCTAATTGACTTTAGAGTAGATTAAAAATGAGAATAATTATGAATTGTCTTGTGGCAATTAGTTTCTAGGTTTTATTAAATTTGATCTGCTTGTGAAAAATGATTCCTCGTGTGGGAATTGAATGAAAATTTCTCTCAACTCCAATTTCAGGTTCTCGACAGTAATTTAGAGTTTCAACGTCATGTAACAAACGAGGGCTTAACCAGACAGGGTGCCACAGGAATTGCCATATCCGAGCAGGGACTAGTCGTAACAAATTGGCGCACTCGTACAATTACGGAAATGAGTACACACGGAGACACTATTCGCTCATTTACGCACAATGCATTTCAGGTTTGTTCGCACGATCCACTTCTTCCGTTTTTTTTCCTCACCCTGAGAATAAAATGCCCCACGCCAAATCTGGATGAATTCGAATTTTTTCCATTAATTCATTTGAATAATTAATTCAATTGGGGGAGTAATCCCATTTTTATGTAGTTTAGGTGAACATTTATTTTGTTTTTGCAGACACCATTCGACGTGGCGGTAGACCGGAGCTATGGCCACGTCCTTGTCGCTGATAGTGGATCTGAGAGTGGACCCAATAGGAAATACTCCGTCTATGTATTCGATTCAGACGGAAAATTCCTATTTCAAGTGAGTTTTTGTCATCGTATTTATTT